GGCCTTACCACGTATATTTGTGATCGTTCACTCAGTGTCCACAGGTAAGACCAGAAACAGTCTGACTGGTAAACAAACATTTTCACTTTTCATATCCAGCTCATTTCATCATAGCAGGCTGCAGACACTGTACCCCCCTCAACAAAGGAACTCTGCGTGATGTGTGCTACAGAGGACATCATGTGGGAGTCCTTCTCCTTCTCTCAGCTGCTCCCTTTAGGGGACACCATAGGGCAGGGGTCTCAAACTCGCGGCCCGGGGACCAGTTGCAGCCCACGTCACTCCTACTTGCAGCCTGTATATTGACGTGAAGAAATGCAGTTTGGGCAGTGAAGTGACTTTTTTTGTTAGGGAGGATTTGTTTGTTGTTGAGTGCAATGTTAAAATAAGTGATTTCATATGAAGGCAGCGTGAGCAGAGAGCACAAACATGCTGAGGGATTGGCTGTTAGTTCAGTGAGCGAGTCAAAATCTCACGTGTACACTAATGTCTGCATTTTGATTTTGTTAAACACAATGACAGCAGAAGTGCTGCCACGTGTGTGGCCACACAGCACCAATGTGTTTATTTGGTAGTTCAATGAAAGGCTTCAGTTAGTTACAAGTGAGAAAAAAGCGTGTTCACATTGGCAGTTTTGTCTTGTTAAACAATATTTGAAATTTTAAAAAACACACAAAATGCTACATTTTTGGAAATATTTGTGGGTGTTTTCTTGCTTGTTTTTTGTACCCCTTGAGCACTAAAGTGGCCCTCCAATGAGATGACAGCGGCAGCAGCGGCCCACAGCTCATTCAAGTTTGAGAGCCCTGCCATCTGCCTGTTTCATCCTTTTTAGTCACACCAACCCTCTGCATGTGCTCCTTAACTACATCCATGAACCTCCTCTGAGGTCTTTTCCCGCCTTCCTACCTGGCATCGCTGTCTTCATCATTCTTTGTTCACTACATCCACTCTGCCTTCTCTGCACATGTCCGAACCATTTCAACCTTAACTCTCTAATATTGCCTCCAAATCACTCAACCTGAGCTAATGTTCTCATTTGTAGCCCACTCTGGTCACTCCGAGTGAAAATCTTCCAATCCACCACTTCCAGCTGTGCCTCCTACTTTTTTGTTGGTTGGTTGGTTGTTAGCGCCACCATCTACAATCCAGCATCTTGTAGACCTGCTAACCAGGATGTTTTACCAGTCAGTGGTTGCTGGAGTACTGTTCTATGCTGTGGTGTGCTGGGGGAGCAGCACAGCAAAGAAGGACTCATTCAGGCTGGAAAAACTGATCAGGAAGGCTGGCTCTGTGGTCGGCATGAAGCTGGACACTCTGGTGTCAGTGGCAGAGAAAAGGACACTAAAAAACTGCTGGACATTATGGACGATGCTGGGCATCCTCTGCACACGGCCATAAACAACCAGAAGAGTCTGTTCAGTGACAGGTTGCTTCTCCCAAAGACAAGAACCAACAGACTTAAAAACTCCTTTGTCCCACACGCCATCAGACTGTTTAACTCCTCACTGGAGGGGAGAGGGAGGGGCACAGGAGGACAAAGGAGGGGGGGACAACTAAGCTGTAGTGCCTCTTCACTGTGCAATACTTTTTGTGCAATACTTTTTGTTAATAGTCAACGGTGCAATAGACCTCAATACTTGAAATGTGCAATTCACTTGTATTTTTATTTTTATTCCTATTTATTCTATTTCT